TAAAAAAAAAAAAAAAAAAAAAAAAAAAAAAAAAAAAAAAAAAACATAAAAAGACAGGGATACACAGAAAACCCTATTGCTGCTGCTGCTGCTGCTGCTGCTGCTGCTGCTGCTGCTGCTGCTGTTGCTGCTGCTGTTGCTGCTGTTGCTGCTATTTTAAGGAAGAGAGGGAAGCACAAAAAATATTAAATAACAATATTTATTCACCAAAAATCAAAATACCAAAACCCTAAACCCTAATAAACCCTAAACCCTAATAAACCCTAAACCCTAAACCCTAAACCCTAATTTACTTTTTTGAACATAATAAATAATTGTTGTAGATAATCTTGATCTAAGAACCATACATTAGGGTCCTTATTATCTTCCTCAAAGGGAAGAGCAAATGAGTTTGTTGCATGCCATTCATCTCCTATTATTTCCCCTAATATACATCCTACTACACGCCTATTTGTACCTATATATATCAATATATATATATAAACCCTAAACCCTAAACCCTAAACCCTAAACCCTAAACCCTAGAAAAACCCTAAATAAAAAAATCAAAAAATATTAAAAAATCATCAACCATCAAAGAAAAATATACAAAACATAATAAACCCTAAAAAAACACTAAACCCTAATAAACCCTAAACCCTAATTGGACAGGAATAACATAATAACATAATAACACAAGAGACATACATTCAATACAAACCCTTCTTTAGGGTTTAGGGTTTAGGGTTTACGTACCCTTAGCTACACGGTTATAATGATCAACAACCGACAGCAGCACAATTGGATGAACAACCACCTGTAAACACAAAAAAACCACAAACCCTAAACCCTAAACCCTAAACCCTAAATTCTAAACCCTAAACTCTAAACCCCAAATTCTAAACCCTAAACCCTACTTACCACTTTCTTTGTCAACAGCCCCGCGACAGCGGAATAGCTGGACAGACAGTCCATAGCCTCGCTTCCCAACATCTTGGCTCTCTGCAGCAGCAGCAGCAGCAGCAGCAGCAACAGCAGCAGAAGTAGAAGCAGCAGCAGTAGTAGGAACAGCAGCTGCTGGAGAGGTATTGGGGTGTACAGACACCTAGGGTATAAGTAGTAAGGAAAAAGCTTACGAATTCACTGCCTGCAGCGTTAGAAGTTGCAGCAGCAGCAGCAGCTGCAGCAGCAGCAGCTGCTGCTGCTAAGGATCTACGGGCGCGGAGATATGCAACAGGTGTTGCAGCAGTAGCTGCAGCAGCAACTGCAGCAGTTGCTGCAGTAGCGGCTGCGCCTGCAGCAGATGCCTATACACCGCAGCAGAAGCAAGCAGCTCCTGCAGCAGCAAAGGAGACTTTTTAATTAAATAAGGAGATAAGTGCTAGTTTGCTGCTGCTGCTGCTCCTGTGGACAGGCAGCATGCAACACCAACAGCAGCAGCAGCAGCAGCAGCGGGAGCTGCAGCACCAGCAGCAGCAAATGAGGAAGGAACAGAAGAGTATAACAGACAAACACAACAGATAAAAGGTTAATATTATTTACTGCAGCAGCAGCAGCAGCAACATCAGCAAATCCGCAGCAACAGCAGCAGCGCAGCCGACCCTCATCCACACAGCAGGGGGGCCCAGGTTGCTGCTGCTGCTGCTGTTGCTGTTGCTACTGCTGCTGCTCGTGTATTTGCTGCTGCTGTTGCTAATTATATTATAATTAAAATGAATTGTTCTTGCTGCTGCAGCAGCAGCAGCAAAAATTAATTAGTGTTTATTAGTATCTTTATCCCTTAGTGCTGTTGGCCGCCGCAGCAGCAGCAAAGACTTGGGGCTGCTGCTGCTGTTGCTGCTGCTAATACTGCTACAGCAGCAGCTGCTGCTGCTAATACTGCTGCACCTCTATTAGAGATTCCTGCACCCCTTCAGCTCTGAGGCCATCGGTAGGGCTGCAGCAGCAGCGCATGCATTAGCTGCTGCTGCACATTAAACAGGAAGACTGCAGCAGCAGCAACAACAACAGCAGCAACAACAGCAGCAACAACAACACCAACAGCAGCAGCAGCAGCAGCAACAGCAGCAGCACAAGCGACACACTTAATGAGTAGCAATGTGTGCCCATCAAAACCCTACCAAGCTTCCATCTGCTCAATATGCTCCAGCACCAATGAATAAGTGTTTAGGGTTTAGGGTTTAGGGTTTAGGGTTTAGGGTTTAGGGTTTAAAGATGCTGCAAGCGTCTTCTTTACGAGGCGCTCTTAGTGGCGCAGAACCAGAAATTGATCTAAAAACAATTGTTATAGAGGTTGGATGCAGGTAAATAAGGGTTTAGGGTTTAGGGTTTAGGGTTTAGGGTTTAGGGTTTAGGGTCTGGGGAGTTACTTCAAGTGCTGCGCAGGCTGGTGCTGTAAGAATTAGGGTTTAGATGGATGCTTAGTTTCGCCTTCCCTTCAGCAGCAGCAGCAGCAACAACAACAGCAATAGCGCTTGGCCTTAATGGATCTTTTTGTTTCGCTGCTGCTGTTCCTGCTGTTGCTGCTGCTGCTGCTGCTGCTGCTGCAGCGAGGTGCGAGTAGGGTTTGCAGGGTCTCTGCATCCTGCTTGCCGACTCCCTGCTTTTATTTCTCGGGTGCCGCAGGTGAAGGGTTTCAAGGTAAACGCTAAACCCTAAACCCTAAACCCTAAACCCTAGATTGCCGGTTGATGAGGGTTTAGACTTAAGGGACACATTTTGAGGGTTTAGGGTTTAGGGTTTAGGGTTTAAGAATTAGGGTTTGCGGATTTACTATTTTGCTGCAGACAGTTTTTGGCTGGGAGGCATTCGACAGCAGCAGCAGCAGCAACAGCAGCAGAAGCAGCAGCAGCAGCAGAAGCAGCTATTGCCCTGTATTTGCTGCTCATCCTGCTCATGCTGCAAGCAGCAGCAGTTCTCCGGATTTGCTGCTGCTTGTTCTTGATGAGGCTCTTGACCGAGTAAGTGTTTAGGGTTTAGGGTTTAGGGTTTAGAGTTTAGGGTTTAGGGTTTAGGGTTTACGCCTACAGATATGGGAGTGTTTTTGCTGCCCTTCTGCAGGCTTTAAGGGATGCGCCCCGTAGAAGCAGCAGCAGCAGCAACAGCAGCAACAGCAGCAACAGCAGCAGCAGCAGCATGTGCTGCAGTGACTGCAACTTGCTGCTGCTGTTAGCTCTACCAGGGGAGCCACAAGTCGTCTCGTTGCTTCTTCGTTGGGCATTTGAACAGCGGCGATTCAAGAGTAGGGTTTAGGGTTTAGGGTTTAGGGTTTAGGGTTTAGGGTTTAGAAATCAATACAGTAGTTATTACCTCTGCAACAAGTTATAGATATATTCCTAACAAATCCCGTAAGAAATCAGAAGTTTAGGGTTTAGGGTTTAGGGTTTAGGGTTTAGGGTTTAGGGTTTAGGGTTTGTCTCAGGGGTGAAGTTGATGGCAAGCGAACGAATGGCGGTTTATTCGCATCTGCCGTTCTTTCCTGGGCTTTGTTCTCATCAGGGTGAGTTAGACCGTAAACCCTAAACCCTAGATCCTATCTTTGCGAGTAGGCATTCCTACATTTTTATTAAAATTCATAACCCTAAACCCTAAACCCTTTTTTCTGTTCTCTTATTACGAGGTTTATGGCTTTTAGGGCTTAGAGTTTTTCTGTTGTTGAATAAAGGGTTTAGGGTTTAGGGTTTAGGGTTTAGGGTTTGGTGTATGTACAGGTACATTAGTAGTAGATATAGGGGAGAGCGGTATTCGTGTTTCTCCTCTTGAGGGTTTATCTCTTTCTCCTGTTTCTTTTTGCTGCGCTGCTACTCGTGGTGGTGCGGGTTTGCTGTCCGAGTTGCTGCTGCTGCATCTAAGGAAGCAACAGCTTCCTGCTGCTCCTGCTGCTGCTGCTGCTGCTCCTGTTGCTGCTGCTGCTGCTGCTGCTGCTGATGGGGATGGGGAAGTTGAAGGGGAGACGCGCGAGGCAAGCGAGATGGATATGCAGCATGAGGAACAGGAGGAGGAGGAGGAGCAAGAGCAGCAGCAGCAGCAGCATGCAGCAGCAGCAGCTGCAGCAGCAGCAACAACAGCAGCAGCACATGGATTTGGTGCCGGGGCTGGGCGTTGGGGTCCTGACTCATTAGATTGGAGAGATTTAACTCGCTATAAAGAAACGCAATGTTATGTCAGGTAGGTCAAGGGTTTAGGGTTTAGGGTTTAGGGTTTAGGGTTTAAGGGGTTTGGCGGTTCGGTGGTTTAGGGTTTGGGCACAGCTTCCTCTGTACACCAAGCCTGCGGATGCCCTCCTATGATCGAGCTAGTGAGGGTTTGGGGTTTAGAATTTAGGGTTTAGGGTTTAGGGTTTAGGGTTTAGGGTTTGGGTGGTTGCGTACAGCTTAGATCCTGCGCTGGATTTACATCTCCACAGAAACCACCGGCAGCTAAAGCCGCTCTTCACGTGCAGCGAGTAAACCCTAAACCCTAAACCCTAAACCCTAAACCCTAGTTGTGCGGTATTCCCTTAACTTTTAGCTCGAGGCTGTGAGGACGTGTTTCTTGGGTGCTGCTGAAATTCCTCCGACATTCATTTCAGAGTTTAGGGTTTAGAATTTAGGGTTTAGAATTTAGGGTTTAGGGTTTAGGGTTTAGGGTTTATGTGTTGCAGCGGATCCGTTGTACAGCCTTGGTCAGAAACATTTTTAATTCCTGAAGTTTTATTTTCTCCTCAACTTCTTCCTGATGCAAATTTGGCTGCTATAGCACCTGGCATGGATGTAAACCCTAAACCCTAAACCCTAAACCCTAATTCTAGATAAACCCTAAACCCTAAACCCTATTTTCACCAAAACCCTAGACCCGAATTCTGTCAGTGCTACATGTACACAAACCGTACACTCGAGTTGCACCCACGTAGCCGCAACACACCCCAGACGAGGGTTTAGGGTTTAGGGTTTAGGGTTTAGGGTTTGCGTGCAGCACAGCAGCATAAGCGAAATGGTGTTGCAGTGTTTTAGACGTTCTTCTGTTTGCGAGAGGGAAGGATGGCTAAAAAATATTTGCCTTGTTGGTGGTAGTGCACAACTCCCTAATTTTGCACAAAGGTAAACCCTAAACCCTAAACCCTAAACCCTCATTAAACCCTAGGTTCAAACCTGGAGTTCACAACCATCCTCGAACCCAAGATATAAACACTATACTTAAAACCCTAAACCCTAAACCCTAAAGTCTCCAGTAGTAGACCTAAACAATCAAGCAAATTTTCCTCAAACCCTAAACCCTGTCAGCAAACCCTAAACCCTTAATTATGCTGCTGCAGGCTGGAGATGGATTTGCTGCAATCTTGGCGCGAATCAGCAGGAGAATATTACAATGTTAAGGACACCATACAGCAAGTTCAAACCCTAAACCCTAAACCCTAAACCCTTAATTATCAACCCTCTTCAAACCCTAAACCCTACCCCCAGCTTCTCAAACCCTTATTCTCCTATTTTAAGCCCCAGCCTCCGGTGGTGTTGATCCCCCGAACCCTAAACCCTCAGCTAATTTGCTGCTGCTGCTGTTGCTGCTGCTGCTGCTGCTGCAGGGTGAGAGTGCTGCCGTGTGAGGACCGCCAGCTCGCCGCATTTCGTGGAGCGTTGCTGTTCGGTGAGTCACGAAATTAGGGTTTAGGGTTTAGGGTCTAAGGGTTTGGGTTTAATCTTTAGGGTTTACCGCTTGCTTGATGGGACGAGGGTTTGTTGGTTAAGGGTTTACGATTAAGAGTGTAGGGTGGCAGCTCAGTACAGGGTTTAGGGTCTAGACTTTAGACTTTAGCCTTTAGGGTTTAGGGTTTAGGGTTTAGGGTTTGTGGTTTAGGGTTAGTGGCTCGTCAAGAGCCAGAGGCGTGGTTAAGTCGTCAACTCTTTGAGCGGACAGAAGGATTAGAAAAGGTCGCAAGGAAGATGGCCCTACACAGCTAGCTAGCTAGCTAGCTAGCTGGCTAGCTGGGTAGCTAATTGGGTAGCTAGCTAGCTAGCTAGCCTCTTTCTAGGCGGACAACTGGCGAGTCCGCCAGTTTCTTGGCTGCGCCTAAAGTGGCTAGCTAGCTGGCCAGCTACCTGACTAGCTAGCTAGCTGATTAGCTAGCTAGATGGCTAGCCATTGGCGGCGGGGCTTGCCGTCTGTTTGATGACATATTTTGCTGACAGATGCATGCAGCTTGTGCTGCTGCTGTTGCTGCCGCTGCTGCTGTTGTTGCTGCTGCAGAAGCAGCAGCAGTTTGATGTATCTGGAGGACTGCTGCAGGTCCCAGCAGCTGCTGCTGCAGGTCCTGCAGCAACAGCAGCAGCTGCTGCAGCAATAGGTACTACTGCTTTTGCAGCAACGGCAGCAACAGCAGATATTGTCGTTTTAAACCATCCTAGGGTTTAGGGTTTAGGGTTTAGGGTTTAGGGTTTGTAGTTCTAAGCTGCGCACGGCGCAGCAGCAGCAGCGTATTATGTCCATCTGCAGCAAGTAGCTGTAGGGCCCTTAGTTTAATATCTGCTGCTGTTGTTGCCTGTTTGCTGCTGCTGCTGCTATTGTTGTTTCTTCTATGATTGCTGCTGCTGCGCTGCAGCAGCAGCAGCAACTGCAGCGCGTGCTGCAGCGTAAGACGACTGCAGCAATAAATAGGGAATAAGTTCCTCCATAGCATTTTGCTGCTGCTAGGGGGGAGCTGTACATACACCTCAGCTATTTGCATAAAGAATCTTTCTTCATAGGGGAGGGGGAGGCTGCTGCTGTTGCTGCTGCTGCGCTGCTGCTGCTGCTGGCGCTGCAGTTGATGGTGCTGTTGCTGCTGTTGCGTGTGCTCGAGGCGCTGCTGCAGCAGCTGCTCATCATGGCCTTCTACGCGTTGATAGAAGGCAGCAGCAGCAGCAGCAGCAGCAGAAGCAGCAGCAGCAGCAGCAGGAGGATCCAGCAATCTTGCCCATATATCTTCCTTACACTGCAGCACAGGAGCAGCAGCATGACAGCGACACAGACCTGCAGCAACTCTGCTACTGCTGCTGCTGCTGCTGCAATCTGCTGCTGCTTCTGCTGCCAGAAGCTGTGCCTTCGCTAGACCCCACAGTCTCTGTCGTGCTGCTGCTGCTGCTGCTGCTTTTGCAGCAGCTGCTGTTGTTGTTGGTGCTGATCCCTCTGTTGGCATCGCAGCTGGTGCTGCCTCTTCTCCTCCTGGAGAAACTGTTGCTGCTGCTGCTGTTCTTTCTGCTGCTGCTGCTGCTGTTGCTGCTGCTGCTGCTGTTACTCGGGCGTGTGCTGCTGCTGTCAGGAGTTTCTCTGGTGCAGCACAGACCCTCTCCAACAGCAGCCACCGTTGCTGCTGCAGCAGCAGTGGGAACTGCTGCAGCAGCAGCAGCACGCAGCGGCAGCAGCAACAGCAGCAGCTGAGGTCACCACTCCACGTAGTCTTACGGCCTACACGCCAAAGGCATGCTGGTGATGCTGCTGCAGCTGCTGCTGCTACAGGAGTAGCACCACGTGCTGCAGCAGCAGGAGGTGCAGCAGCATCAGCAGCAACAGGTGGAGCAGCTCGTCCCCTATCGCATGCAAAACGGAGAAGTTGGGCAATGTAAGGACAAAGCGCTGGGCCGCAAAAGCGCGGTGCTGCTGCTGCTGGTGCTGCTGTTGCTGGTGCTGCTGCTGCGTGTGGTTTTGCTGTTGCTGTTGCTGCAGCTGCTGCGGCTGCGGTGCAGCAGGGCAGATTTGGTTGCTGCAGATGCAGCAAACATGGCCAACGACCCCTTCTGCTGCTGCTGCTGCAGCTACAGGTGGCTGCTGATGCTGCTGCAGCATCCGGAGAAGCAGGCGTCCCTTTGTTAAGACCGCCTAGCTGCTGCAGCAGCAGCGGCTGCAGCAGCAACAGATGCAGCAGCAGCAAAATATGGTCTACAGACACCGCAAGAGTTACTGCTGCATGCAGCCAGGAAACCCTCAGAGGCGCCCTCTCTTCTTCTCTCCTGTTGTTGTTGTTGTTGCTGTTGTTGTTGTTGCTGCTGCTGCTGCGGGCTCGGCGACGCTGCAGTCGCTGCTGCTGCTGCTGCTGCTGCGGTGCTGACTCCCGCTGCTGCTGCTGCTGTTGCGAAGCAGCAGAATTCTCCAGAGCAATCTCTAAAACATTTGCAGCCGCCTTGCGGAATACCGCAGCTGTGCACAACGTAAACCCTAAACCCTAAACCCTAAACCCTAAACCCTATGCCTCCCCAAGTCTAAAGTATAAACACTATGCGAACTTAAGGCAGACGGGTATCCTTGAATGCTTTAGGGTTTAGGGTTGCTGTCCTAGGGCTTTGGGTTCACAATCTACGGTTTAGGGTTTAGGGTTTAGGGTTTAGGGTTTACTGGGCATAAGATGGAAAATGAGTCTTGCAATAGATCGAAGGCCAAACCACAACACCCACGGATCGTCTTCTTGTTGGAGTGCATGCATCATCTAAGAACAAACCCTAAACCCTAAACCCTAAACCCTAAACCCTAAAACCTCAAGTCTAGGATGTATCATCTCTAGAAACTCTCTACTAGTTCAGCATCGAGTGTGATGCGCTATACGATACTAGGGTTTAGGGTTTAGGGTTTAGGGTTTAGGTTCTAGGGTTTACGAGGTCAACAATGGACTCCACGGCGATTTGTCCTTGCGTTGCTTTCCTCATTGCTGCAGCCTGCAGCAGCAACCGCTGCATGCGGCTTTGAAGTTGCTGCTGCTGCTGCTGCAGCAGCAAGAACACGAGGCCATCCCTCTCCATGTACGGCTGCAGGTACCTGCAGGAGCAGCAACAGCAGCAACAGCAGAAGTAGCTGCGGCAAGACCGAAGCAATGAGCAGCAGCAGTGGCGAGCACCAGCGAACGTTGTCTTAGTACGTTACCCAATCCTAAGAATGAGGGTTTAGGGTTTAGGGTTTAGGGTTTACGCTGCATCATCTGAATTAACGATGAGGGCCTGGGGAGGGGTTTGGCCACTCAAACCCTCAACTGCTGTTGCTTGGCCAGCAAACCCGCAGCATATTTTCTTCTCCTGCAGAGCTGCAGCTGCAGCAGCAGCAGCAGCAGCAGCAACAGCATTAGCAGCAAATAATAGCAGAGGGAGCAAGATCTGCAGCAGTAGACATTCTTGACGGAGGCGTAGCTACACGCTTGAGGGTTTAGGGTTTAGGGTTTAGGGTTTACAGCCATTAGGGCTTGCATAGAAGGCGGATATTTGTAAAGCATTGAGACTTTGAAATCTATGAGCTCGCATTGGTGTGCTGCCGCATTCAGCAGCAGCAGCAGCAGCTGCTGCTGCTGCTGCTGCGCTTGCTGCTGCTGCACTTGGTGCAGGTGCTGCTGCAGCATCGTACTGCAGCAGGTATAGAGAAGCCAGACACAGACCCTTGCTGTTGCTGCTGCTGCTGCTGCTGCTTCTGCAGTCTGTCGAATACATTGACACCTGCAGAAATCCACCCATGCGTATGTTGTACAGGGTTTAGGGTTTACGGTTAAGGGTTTGGCCTTTAGGGTTTAGGGTTTAGGGTTTACAGGCTTCAGGACGGAGACGCCGGCGGAACCCCACCAACTCCTGAGGCTTCTCCAGGTTGCTTCCCCTCTGTGGTGCTGCATTTGCTTCTGCTGCTGTTGCTGCTGATGCTGTTGCTGTTGCTGCTGTTGCTGTTCCTGCTGCTGCTGCTCAGCAGCAACAGCAGCAAGACAGTGCTCCAGTAGGACCCGAGCGCACGGCGATGCAGCATGACGGAGGCCGACGTATAAGCGAATGGCCTGCAGCAGCAGAAACAGCAGCAGCAGCAACAGCAACATCAACAATAGCAGCAGCGCCATCGCACAAGCAGCCTCGCGGTAGCAGCAGCAACAGCAGCAGCAGCAGCAACAGCAACAGCAGCAACAGAAGCAACAGCAGCAGCAGCAGACCTTGATATAATTTGTACATCCGTAAGCCATACGGTGCTGCCTAAGGAGTGCTGCTGCCTTTCCCCACAGCAATCCATGCTGCAGCAGCTGCCGCTGCTGCTGTTGCTGCTGCTGCTGGTGCTGCCTTGTCCTTGCCTGGCTTCTGCGCTGAATGCATACGGGATGGGCTGAAACCTACACACAAAAATAAACCCTAAACCATAACCCCTAAACCCTAAACCCTAAACCCTAAACCCTAAACCCTTGGCGAATACCTTTTGGTCTGTTCGATATGCCCACTGTTTTATTTGACTATGAAACCACAGCCAAATAAGGGCGTCGCAGTTGTTGTTGTTGTTGTTGTTGTTGTTGTTGTTGTTGTTGTTGTTGTTGTTGTTGTTGTTGTTGTTGTTGCTGCTGCTGCTCCTGCTGCTGCTGTTGCTGTTGCTGATTCCTGTGGCGGTTTCCCGATGCCTTTGTTGCTTCTGCTGCTGCTGCTGCTGTTCGTGCTCCGCATGCAACCACGTGGAGTCTTCTGCTGCTGCCTGCTGCAGCAACAGCAGCAAACGGGGGCTCGACCTTAATGTTCTCCTGCTGCGCTGCTGCCACCTAAAGTGGCGGGGTGCAGAAGAAGCAGCAGCAGCAGCTGCTGCTGCTGCTGCTGCTTGCTCAGCTTCTTCTGGCTGCCAAGAATCACCGTCAAGAAGCAGTTGCTGCTGACACCTTTGCTGCTCTTGCTGCTGCAGCTGCTGCTCCTGCTGCTGCTGCTGCTGCTGCTGTTGCCGGGGAGCCCTCACCAATCCATCAGTGAATCTGCATTGCTGCTGCGGTTTCCACAGCTCTTTCTGCTGCTGTTGCTGCTGGTGCTGCTGTTGCTGCTGTTGCTGCTGCTCTATTAAGTTCACAGCCCCGGCAGCAGCAGCAGAAGCAGCCGCTGCAGCAGCAACAGCATCAGCAGCACGTGAAGGCTGGCTGGCGTGCTCATTCTCACTACTCTCGTCTGCGCTGCTGCTGCTACTGCTGCTGCGGCTATTGCTGCTGCTGCTGCTGCTGCTTAGAGGTGCCACACTATACAGCGGCAGCAGCCTCCGCATGCAACGCAGCCGAAGCAGCTGCTGCAAGAAAGCACTGCGCTGCAGCAAGCGTACAAACCCTAAACCCTAAATCCTAAACCCTAGGAGCCACTCAATTTTGGATGTCTTTAACTCACATATCCTGCTTCTTAACCTTCAGGGTTTAGGGTTTAGGGTTTAGGGTTTATACCTTGGGTCTTGATAGTATTTCTGCAGCAAGGTGTATAGACACCGCATGTATTAGCCAACAGTCATCATGAGGGCAAGGGAGGCGCAGCGTGCTGCTGCTTGAGGCGCTGCAGCTGGACCCCGTTGCTGCTGCTGCTGTTACTGCTGCTGCTGCTGCTGTTGCTGCTGTATTCATGCTGCAGCAGTTGCTGCTGCTGCTGCTGCTGTTGCCGTTTCTGCTGCGCGTCATGTGGTGATGAGCACCTAAAGAAAATAAACGCGCCCTGCCCATGCTGTTGCTGCTGACGCTGCATTCGCTGCTGTTGCTGCTGTTGCTGCTGTTGCTGCTGTTGCTGCTGTCGCTAAAGTTGCTGATGTCGCTGCTGCTGCTTCTGCTGCTGCAGTTGCTGCTGGCTTCCTCAAAGGTGCTGCTGCGGCTACCAAAGTTAATACTTGGTCTCCCTTCGCTGCAGCATATTTTGCATGGTGCAGTCCTGCTGCTGCTGCTGCCACAGCAGCAGCAGCTATTCCTGCGGCTGCAGGCCATACGATATACCTTTCTGCTGAAGCAGCAGCAACTGCTGCTGCGGCGAGAAGTGCTGATGCTGCTGCTTTGGGTCCCGTGGGGGGATGCGATGCTGCATGTCCTGCTGCTGCTGCTGCTGCTGCTGCTGCTGCTGCTGCTTGTGCTGTTGTTGTAAGATGTATAGACACAGGGGCCACCATAGTAGCAACTGCAGCAGTTGCTGCAGAGCCACAAGGAGCAAATCCCTCGATAGAGTGTATGTACAGCAGTAACTAAATTCTCTACATCTGCTGCTGCTCCTGCTGCTGCTGCTGCAGCAGCGACAGCAGATGCAGCGGAACTAAATGGTGCCACGGCAGCAACCGAAAGACTGCAACAGCCGCTGCTGCTTGAAGTCGCCGCGGCAGCAGCAGCAGCAGCTGCTGCTGCTGCGGCTGCTGTTGCTGTTGTTGCACTGACACCCCCAAGGGGGCGCAGCAAAGAGGGACAAAGAATTTCTAACAGCAGCTCGCTGCACAGCATTACTCCCGAGTATGCTGCAGCAGCAACAGCAGCAAAAGTATGGGGTGGGGCGGGAACAGCAAGAGTAGCAGGAACAACAAGAAGAAGAACAACAGCAGCAAAGGCGGCAGCAGCAGCAACAGCAGCAGCAGCACTGGCGAGTTGAGTGGAACCTTACAGCTGCGCCTGTGCATTCCCTCTACACCAGCAGCAGCAACAGCAGCAACAGCAGCAACAGCAGCAGCAGCAGCAGCAGCAGCAGCAGCAGTGGTAGCTACCTTTACATAGAGGAACAGCCAACCCTGGACAGAAGACAACATGCAGCAACTGCCGCTGCAGCGAACAACCAAATGATTCCCCAGCAGCAAAGACTGCATCACGCAGCAAAGCAGCAAGTAGCTGCAGCAGCAGCAACAGCAGCAGAAGGAGGATCATTAGCACCAGCAGCAAAAGCAGTACCCTTTTGAATCGCCATGCATCGAAGGGTCTGCTGCTTTTAGCACCATTACGCATGCTTAAGGGTTTAGGGTTTAGGGTTGAGGGTTTAGGGTTTACGTTTTAGGGTTTAGGGTTTAGGGTTTGTACCTGCAAATCTGAGTTGTTGATTGTCAAGGCTTGCCGCCAATAAATTTGCAGACGTCTTTGCGACTCACAGGGAGCCCAAGGCAGCACCTCTGTTGCTGCTGTTGCTGCAGCAGCAGCAGCAGGAACGATAACAACAGCAGCAGCAACAACAGTAGCAGCAAAAGCAATAATAAAGGCAGTAAGGATTGGGGGAGAAAAAGAGAGGACAGCATGAGGCAAAATGTCTATTTTTAGGGTTTAGGGTTTAGGGTTTAGGGTTTAGGGTTTACTCTGCAGCTCATGTGGATGTGGCAAATCAGCACGCACAGCCCTTAGAGGACCAGCAGCAACGAAGAGAGACGAGCAACTGTAACGCAAACCCTAAACCCTAAACCCTAAACCCTAATTCCTTAGCTTCAAAGGCATTGCAAAGAACACGACAGCAGTATACGCTGCGTCAGACGAGGGTTTTGCCTCTATCGGCTAGGGTTTAGGGTTTAGGGTTTAGGGTTTAGAGTTAAGGGTTACTTAATGAGTCCTGTCCTCTGGAAAACCCAAACGCGGCAACTTTCACTGAGGCAAACAAACCCTAAAGTCTCAGACATCAACTCTAAACCCTAAACCCTAAACCCTCAGTCGCCAACCCTAGTTTTTAATTCGTAAACCCTAAACCCTCAACAATCTAAAACCTTCGTGGAGTCCCAGGAGGCAAACCCCATAAATTACCCTCCATAGACTGTTCCACCCTAGGGTTTAGGGTTGAGTGTCTAGTCACTAGGGTTTAGGGTTTAGGGTTTGGGGTTTAGGGTTTAGAGTTTACCGAGGTAACTCATCAAGAATAGAGGGAGGAAGGGAGTCGCAACAACCAAAGGGCTGCTGCGCCTCCACGCTGTATGCCGTTAGATCAGCATACACCGCAGCAAGGGGTTCTGCAGCAAACCCTAAACCCTAAACCCTAAACCCTAAACACTAAACACTAAACACTAAACACTAAACACTAAACACTAAACACTAATTCTGCAGCTGCAGCACGGCTTCTTGACCCACCATTGGAGACCACCGTGAGGCCTGGCGGTGCAGCGACGGTTAGTTGGATGGTCATCTACATCATAAGTCGACAAACCCCTAAACACTAAACCCTAAACCCTAAACCCTAAACACTAAACCCTAAACCCTAAACCCTAAACACTAAACCCTAAACCCTACCTTTGCATTTTGGCTGTCTATGCAGGGCATGAGGGTTTGACCATCAAATGCCTCCAACTTGGTACAGAAGAAGGGGCCCCCTTCTTCCCCAAGTAAGCAACAGCGGAGGCCCCCGCCCTCTGCAGCACCCACAAAACCTAAACCCTAAACCCTAGACCCTTGAGCGCGGACACCTGTCCCCGACACAACAAAAAGACACAAGTAATGACAACACAAGAAGCACAGGCAGCAGCAGCATCAGCAGAATTAGCAGCAGCAAAACCACCACCAGCAGCAGCAGCAGCAGCGCACCAGCTACAGCATAAGCATTAACGAAGTGTATGTACAGCTGGTTGCTGCCACGCAGCAGCAAACTGCCGGGAATTTGCAGCAAATGATTCCTCCATATAACAGGCTGAGATATACCCTCAAATAGAGATCCTGCAGCAGCAGCAGCAGCAACGCAGCAGCAGCAACGCAGCAGGAGCAACGCAGCAGCAGCAGCAACGCAGCAACAACAGCAGCAGCAGGATCAAGAGCAACAGTAACAGCGACGAGAACAGTAACCACAAGATGTAAAACTGGCAAGAGCAGCAGATCTGTAGAAAGAATAAATCTGTATCCTCAGGCTTTAGGGTTTAGGGTTTAGGGTTTAGGGTTTAGGGTTTAGGGTTTACTTCTATGGACTGCCCGTCCATCTGGTCCAATTCGTCTTCCATTGATTGAAATTCTTTGGATAACATCACCAGAGAAATTAAGCAGCAATTTATCTCTTTTTGTTGGTTGCTGCAGCAGCAGCAGCTGCAGCAACAACTCACCACTATAGCGGCAGCAGCTGCTGCTGCTGCTACCTGTACTGTTGCTGCCTAGAAGCAGCAGCAAAGAGCAACGCATCTCACGCACGTTGCCCGTTATGTCCTCTCCGTCGCTGTCCTCCCCTGCTTCACTCTGCAGCAGCAACAGCAGCAGCAGCAGCAACAGCAGCAGCAGTAGCAACAGCGGAGACATATGCCTCGGTAATCCTGCCACAGTCTTTCTCCACTCACAGACGGCCACCATGGATTTAGTGTTTAGGGTTTAGGGTTTACCTCGTCCTCCTGCATCCAAAGGGGCAGAGGGGGTTCTGTGCTGGGCATCACCGCCAACCGCCAAACCCTCGATGCAGCAGCAACAGTTGCTGCTGCTGCTGCAGCCCATTGAATGGCAGTAAAGACCTCCATCCTAAACCCTAAACCGTAAACCCTAAACCCTAAACCCTAATTACTACACACTAAACCCTAAACCCTAACGGCACGCCGTAGGCGCCGATGTGTGGTATTGTCATGAAGAAACAAGAAAAAGGAAAAGGTAGGTGGACAAAGGTAGAACCCTAACTCTAAACCCTAAACCCTAAACCGTAGCGGCAGACAGGCTGAAGGTAGCCAGGAGCCTGCATCGCAAGAAGACAGACACAAAAGAAGTTTGTCAATGGAGAGGAATTAAAAGAAATCCATAAACCCTTAACCCTGAAACGTCAACAGTAAACCCTAAACCCTAAACCCTAAACCCCACTACGGGGCTGCTGCTAACCGCTGGACAAGCGGTGATCTTCGCTGGATTGTCCGGGCCCCACAAACCCTAAACACTAAACCCTAAAGCGTAAACCCTAAACCGCGGTATTTACTACTACAAATGTAGTGACAAATTTAGAGGGCTAAATTTTGGGTTTACGGACTAGGCTTTAAGGGTTTAGGGTTTAGGGTTTAGGGCTTAGGACTGAGCACAACACAGTGACCCTGTGGGCTCGCCCGCAGGGTCACTTCTGGGACCAAACCCTAGACCCTAAACCCTAATCCCTAAACCCTAAATTTTCGAGAATAGCTCAAATGACGTAAGAAACGGAAGCATTTCAGCTACAACACTAGGGGGATTACTGTTTAGGGTTTAGGGTTTAGTGTGTTCATTGGGGCCAGCTGAGCAAAACAGATGCAGCCCCGAAGGCGAGTAAACCCTATACAGCCTGCGGCTTGCTGTAAACCCTAAATAATAAACCCTAAACCCTAAACCCTAAAGAAATGGTCTTCCATCACGAATGGAAATCCCTTTCTGCTCGGGGCCGAAGTCTAAACTCTAAACCCTAAACCCTAATCTCTAAATTTAAACACTACACTTACTCGATCTTCCCTGTCTTTAGACCATTTCCATTCGATTAGACTGTAAACCCTAAACCCTAAACCCTAATCGCTAAACTCTCACCCCAATATCTTAACCCTATACCCAAGCCCTTAACCCTAAACCCTAAACCATAATCCGTAAACCCTAAACCCTAAGGGAGAGCTGACCTAGCCCGCAGGCATTGTACTCCTTCCTGTTCTTCTGCTGAGTAACCTTAAAGCTGCGGCAACAGCAGCAACAAGAGTAACCTAACCAGCAGCAGCCGCCAAAGCAACATCAGTACAAGCAGCGGCAGCAGCAGGAGCACCAACAGCAAAAACGCAAACACGACGAATTCCAGCAGCACAGACAGGAGCAGCAGCACCAGCAGAGTAGACAGCGACAGCAGCAGCACAGACAGCAGCGGCAGCAGCAGCAGCACCGATGCAGCCTCTTTCCAGGGGCCCCCCTCCTTTGGGGGGCCCCTGGTACAACAGTCGATCTAGTAGCAGCCAATATGGGTACGATTTCAATTGCTGCAGCTCCGTGTCTGTTGCTGCAGCAGCAGATGGAGCAGCAGCAGCAGCAGCAGGGCCCTGTGGACCTTCTATGGTTAGTTGCTCAGCTAGCTACGCAGCTAGCCGCAGCACAGGAGAGAACACAGCAAGAGATTCAGATGCATCTGCTGCTGCTCCTCCTCCTCCTCTTACATATGCAAGGTCCCGCCAGCTGCAGCAGCAGCAGCAGCAGCAGCGGCACCAGCGGCACCAGCGGCAGCAGCAGTGGCAGCAGCAGCAGTGGCAGCAGGATACACCACGAGGACCAGAAAGGAGGAGGTCTAGTACAACACTAGAGTACCTCATGCATCAACAGCTGCAGCAGCAGCGGCAGCAGCAGATGGAGCACCAACTGCAGCAGCAACTGCAACAACAGCAGCAGCGCCAGCGAAAGAAGCAGCAGCAGCAGCACCTGCTGCGGCAGCAGCACATCGAAGGAGGGCCCAGCAACCACCCATCAGCGCCAACGACACAAAGGCATGCAGCAGCAGTAAATGCAGCAGCAGCAGCAAGACATGCGCAGCAAGCAGCAGCACTTAACAACAGTTTTGCTGAGGTTCACCGTACGCTGCAGCGAGCGATCCAAAGGAAAACAGGCCAGCAGCAGCAGCAGCAGGAAAAACAACAGGAGCAGCAGCAACAACAGGACCAACAGCATATCGAGGAGCAGCAGCAGCAGCAGAAGCAGCAGTTCGCTGGGTATCTTAGCGAAGCAGACGCCCGCCATGACGAGGTGTATCGGCAGCTCCTCAGCAACGGTGCCAGGCAGGCAGCTGCAGCAGCAGCAGCTGCTGCTGCTGCTAGAGCTTCAGAACAGCAGCAGCAGCAGCAGCAGCAGCAACAACAACAACAACAACAACAACAACAGCAGCAGCAGCAGGAATCTCTAGGACTTGAAGGGACATTCACAGCAAGCTGCTGCCCATCTCCTGTT